CGTCTGATCCGCTGAGGCGCGGAGGAGCACCGCACGCTGCTCAGGAACAAGGGGGCTACGTGCTGACATCCCAGACCTCTGGAGTGACTCAGTCAGGATGCAGCCCACGGCATGCGACTTCCCGGGGCCCGTGTTCTTTCCACCACGTCACACTCAGCAGGTGAAGGAGAAACCCCAAATCAGCTAAAGACAGGACAGGCACCAGACCAGAGGCACACCACCCCACAGCAGGGGCCGAGGACGCAGAGAGGCGGGGAGAGGAGAGACTATAGGAAGAGACAGGGCCTTTGAGCTGGTCTGCAAGGAGCAGGCACTTCCTAGCAAAGGAGGAAGCTCAGAGATGAAGAAGGGGGTGGGAGCTGTGAACCCTTCACAGGGAGAGGGTGGGGGCAGGGAGAGTGTGTTGTGGGGAGGTGGGTGAGCAGACAGAGCAGGTTGACAGCCAGCCAGCTTGGAAAACTAGATCTGAATCATATTTCCAAAGAGTTTTGTAGGCCATGCCTGTGGAGGTGAAGTTAACGGCATGTTCAGTGGGGATCCACGAAGATGCCCACGCAGAGCGACCTGGCCAGGCTGGGTTTTGGAGGCTCCTTCCGCAGAGGTGCGGAGCTGGGGCTGGGCACAGAGACCGGGGCAGGGGGAGGACAGCTGCAGGGGTCGGGGGCAGAGACTGCCAGGCCCGTAAAGAGGGCTGTGACTTGTTGAGTTCCCCATTAGTGTCAGAGGAAAACACTCAGTGCTTCTAACTTCTAATCCTCACGATGACCCTGCAGAGGAGCCCCGACCTTCTGCAGATGGGATACACGGAGACTCAGAGAGGTTAGTTAGCTTGCCTAAGGTCACACAGTTGCTAGATGGCCAATTTGGGGTTTTAAATGACACTCCTCTCAAGGAGCCAGGTTTTAAAACCTGTGCTTTTAACTACACTCTGTGTAATGCCGAGGAGAGAGCAGAGTTGAGAGCTATTTTCGGAATAAATGAATGGGGTTCGGTGACCAGTTAAAAGTGAGGAGGGTTGAGTAGGAGGGAGAGGCTGCTGCTCTATTGACTTCGTGTGCCCCGGGGTGAGCTGGGGGTGGGGGAACTGGATGGAAGAATCCAGTGCTTCTCAACCAGAGGCAACGCCACACCACTGGGGCATTTAGAAATGGGGGAAGGGGAGGGTTGTTTGTTGCCGTTGGTCCAGTGAGCGGGCAGGACCAAACATCCTTCAAGGCACAGGGACCATCCACTCAACAGAGGACTGCCAAGGCCAGAACACCAAGAGTGCCCCTTCTGAGGGATGCAGGACACAATCGCAAAGGACATCTACCTGCCAGGCTGGAGAGATGTGGGAATGAGTGACAAAACCTCAGAACACAGGGGATACCAGGCAGGATGACACAAAGGAGAGCTCACAACACAGAACATTCTGGAAATCCAGCAACACCGATGTCCGTGTCCAAGTGGGGTCTCTGCAGCAGCTGCACGTGGGGTCCCTCAGCATCACCTGGGACTGGTCCAGTTCGAAACCGTGGACCCCCAGACCAGCTGCACCAGAAGCACCAGGGCGGGGCCAACAGCTTGCAGCGCCATGAGCCCCCCATGTGATCCTGCCCAGCAATCAAGTTTGAGAACTGGGGGGGAGGTCGGATGGGACATAGAGGAAAGCAATGCCAGAAAGGAGAAGAAATGAGAGTTTCTGGGGGAAAAAGAGTGATAAAAAGAGGCAAAGGCTATGGCGTCAAGCAGAGCAGCCACTACATTTGATTAAACAGGATGCTTCTGATGACTTTCCCAAAGTTTAGTTTCGGTGGATGGACGGACAGAGGCTTTCAGCAGGCTGAGGGCTTATATGGAGTTAAAGAGAAACAATGCAGAGTAAAAGCAACGGAGGAGTCAGTAATAGCTCTAGAGGAACACAGGATCCAGGGAGAGTTTTAGGATAAAAGAACAGACTTACGTGCCTATAATACAAATAGGAAGAGGAATAATAATAAACAGGAGAGGAGAAGATTACAGGAATAAAAGCAGAGCCAGAGGCCTGCGCACCAAGAGGTGGGTGCTGGATGGCGAGGTGGGTGCAGGCAGAGCTCTGCGGGATGGAGCGGAGCACCGCATGCAGGAGGGGCAGGGACTCGGCAACTAGAGCAGGACATCCCTTCCCAGAAACGGGGGCTGTGGGGGGGGGGAGCGCCTCACAGAGGCACAGAGCGGTCTGGAGGTGCTGCAAAACATTCGGCACGAGCCCCCAGTGGGTCCCCACTCTCAGTTTCTCTCACCTGTGCAAGAAGAGGGCCGATCTTAAGGGGAGAGCCAGGGAGCAGGAGTTGGGACAGGACCTTGAGAAATGGGGAAATCTGAAACTATCCCTGTGGGGGTTGGGAGACAGTCGACCAGAGACGGGTAAAAAGAGCATGTACGAGTAAAAGGGTGCATGACCAGACTGCAGAACCAGAGTGATGTAAACTTAGAAACTAATGTTCCAGCTCTGAACTGAGATTTCAGGGGATTTTTTTTTTCCTTCTTTTAGTCCAGCTTCTGTATACTTCAAACAACAAATGCCCCTAACCCAGGATGGTGCAGTTACTACTGAGAGAGCAAGAGCGGCCTACGCTGGGTTTATTTGATGTGACAACTTGACTGGGACATGGAGTGCCCAGGAAGGGGGTCACACATTATTGTGGGTGTTTCTGGGAAGAGTTTTGGGAGGAGATTAACCTTTAAATTGGTGGACTCGAGTAAGCAGATTGCCCTCCCTCATGTGGGTGGGCCTCACCCAAACAGTTGAAGGCCTGACTAGACCAAAAAGCTGACTTCCCCCAAGTAAAAGACCTCCTGCCTAATGGCTTTTAGTCTGGGACATGAACCCTTCCTGGTTCTATAGAAGCTTCTGGCCTTTGGACTTGAACTGGGACATTGGCTCCAGGGATTTTAGGCTTTTCATCCTCCATAACCCTGTGAGTCAATTCATTATAAAAATCCATATGTATATCAGTATATACATATAGATTACATACACATGCAGATATGCATATACATGTATACACATATGTACTCCATACACATATGGAGTCTTCTATTGGTTCTCTTCCTCTGGAGAGCCCCAGCTGCTGCACTCCCTAATTGCAGGACTGATTTATTCTTCCTCTCAACTGCAGGGAAGATTAAAATGGCTCCTCAGCAGCATGAAGTTTCAGGCAAGTGTGCTTTCTTCTAAACAGCAGCCCTTACAGGAGAAAAAGCAGATCTGTTGGGAAGGGTTCTGAAATGAAGGGGGAAAATAAGCAGAAGAAATTACCCAGGTGAAGAAGTCAAAAGGGTATCAGAATGTTAAAAAAAATTTTTTTGACCATATAAAATTAAGAAGCAAAAAATAGAGGGGAAACTAGAAAACCAGAAAGGCAAGAAAAATAAATTAATAAACAATGGCATTAAAGAAGGAAGGAAAAAAGGAGTGTCGTCACTGTTATTGCTGCTGCACAACTTGAACGTGGGCTGCACCAGGTGTCAGAGGCCGCGTGAACCAGGACGACACGGCGGTTGCCGCGTCACCGCCGGAGAGTTCACTTCCCAGGATGAGGCCCTGAAGCTGGGTGCCTGGGTGTACAGATAAGAGCTTTCCAAATCATTTATTTCAGAAAAGAGATTCTGACCCAAGGGCAAGCAGCCAATTAAAGTCTGGAAAGCCATGACGATGGAAAACTTGACACTTCCTTTCAACGTAAGGACCTAATTACGCAAGTCCTGTTCCAGAGCCGAACCAATGTTACTTCCTCTGGAAGAAGGTCAGGGATCCGTCAGAGCTGAAGCAAATGGATACCTTAAACGACTTCAGGGGCAGAGGCGGCAGAGAAGTTAGAGCAGCAACAATGTATATGACAGATTTCACACTTCTTATATTAGTGAGTGAAAAGGGATGCAACAGTTTGAAACAAAAAGGCAACTTTCCTCTCTAAGAAATGTGGAAGAGGAAAATACAGGCATATTGGAAAAACGAGAAGAAAACCAGTGTCCCCCACCCCCAAAACCCATGGTCTTCTGTTAGTTATGATCAAGGGACCACCGTGCAGCAAGTACTGGGCTGCGGTTACCTGGTTATGTAGTGAATATGATTAAAAATGCCAACTAATTTTATAAACACACAAAGGCTGCGATTCGGAAGAAATCAGGGCAGCCACAAGAAAATTGGAACTAAAGTTTACAAATTCCTACACGCCACCTGGATCTTCACGGGCATTTGGAGGAGAGCGCGGTGGGGGTGGGGTGGGGGGAGGTGGCTTTTGGGCACAGAGCCAGGCACACTTCCCGGCATAGTATACGCTCAGTAAATGCGTCCACAGCTTCTATTGGAATGTGTCGATGTGTGTAAGAAATGGGGGTTACAAACTCATGAGTGAGACCACTGTTGGGGTGATCCTTGAGAAATGTAAATTAGACCCCATGAGGGTTCCCATAGGCTCCTGCCTCCCTTGCCTTGGTTGCACTTTCCACAACCCCCCTCCCCGCTCACTGAGCTACTGCTGACCTTCTGCAGCCAACTCAGGGCCAGTGCCCTCCTGGGGCCCCTCGCATCAGCTGCTTCTGCAGCCAGGGGTGTTTCGGGTACATGGCTGGCATCTTGGGCAATTAACCACCCCCCTGAAGTAGCTCTCCTCTCCTTTCCTGGCCCAGGTCACATGCCAACAGAAGTTCAGAGGTGAAAGACCCTGTTTACTATGTGTTTGTTGTCTCTCAGCCTCTAGCAGGTAGCTCCAGGAGGGCAAGATCCTTGTCCTCACTTCCCTACTCTCACCCCAGACCTCGCCCCCCGCCCCCGCCATGTTCAGTAACTAATACATATTTGCTGAGTGAACGAAGATTCCCCTCAAGGAACCTGTAAGCCCTCAGTAAATGGTCGTAGAGTGAACGAACTAAGGATACTCTGACCCCAAAGATAGGTTGTCAATGACAGAGATACGAACGCAACAGAATCATCCGACCAGTGACGTCTCAATTTCTCTCCTCCTCAGAGCATGCTGGGAATGAGTGCTGCCCGTGGACGTGGCCACCAGTGGCTTCAGGGATCGAGGTGAGTGTGACCAGCCGGGGAAATGCAGGCCGGGCTGCTGCAGCGGCCTCTGAGTGGGATGCGAGGAGAACAAAGGGAAGCCCGGCAGATAGAACAGAAACTGGCAGAACGGGAGACCATAAAACCTCAGAGTAAACAGCAAGAGCCTGGAAAGGAGTAAAACCCCAAAGTGCAACACTGCTTATCTTTCATCAAAGAGATTTCAAATTAATTTTTAAAAACTACCATGATAGTAAGCATGACAGTGACCAAAGAACTGAGAGAATGCATAGAAAATCTGAGATAATTCTGGTAGATTTTTTAATTGTGAAATAACATGTATCATAAAATTCACCCCTTCAAGTAGAATTTCGCAATGTTGTGCGGCCACCACCCTTACCGAACCCCGGACACTTTATCGCCCCCAAAACAAACTCCCAAGCCCCTCCACCTCCCTGGTCCCCGCCAACCACTGATCTCTTCCTGTGTTTTTGGATTTGCCTATTTCCGACATTTCTTATGAAAGGAATCATACGATACGTGCCTTTTGTGCCTGGATTCCTTCACTGAACTTGATGTTTTCCCGGCACAGATGGAGGGAGCTTCGCTCCCTGTGACGGCTGGCTGAGTGCCGCTCCCCAGTGTGGACACACCGCATTGTGTTTACAAGTAGGTGGGCACTTGGGTGGTTTCCAAATTTCGACTATTATGATAATGCGGCTACAAACCTGTTTGTGTGTACAAGTTTTTGTGTGGATGTGTTTTCAATTCTCTTCGAATTCACATGAAGTATAGAAGGCAAGAAGCAAAAAAGAAACAAAAACCAAATAGTGTAAAAAAAAGGGGTAATACTAACAAGAAAATAGCAGTTAATACAGGGTTGGGCAAAAGGAGGTTTACAGTTGTGAGCATGCAAAAGGTTATTCTTGCATTATTATTATTGTGTTATTCTCCATACGAATAACTGTAAACCTACGTTTGCCCACGCTGGACATTGGACACCTTCCCTGTGCCATGTACCTCACTGGAAATTCACGTGCACCGTGAGGTTTAATCCTCACAATAATTCCCTTTCGCAATTACCCTTTTCCTACAAATGGAGAAGCTGGTTCAGAAGCCAGGAGGTCAGGCTGCCCAAGACCCGGCTCAGGGAGCACAGAGCTGCCCCTGGCACATGCAGGGCTCCAAGGGGCGGGAGGGACAAGCAGACCAACCACAGTCTAGTAACTAACAACGCACTCCCCCATGGTCTAATTTCCCCATCAAAGAGACTCGGGTTAAAATAAAAAACAAATATTAAACAATATTCTGCTTTCCAAAAAGAGAGGCAAATTAATGTTAGAAAAAATTCCAGTTTGAACAAAGGGACTTTATTCTGTGAGTGAACGAGCTGCTCTTTGGGATTGGGAGCAGGGACTGGACACTCCTCTGGCGCCGGCGGGCGCCGGGGCCGACGGTGGGCAGCCGGCTGGTTATTAACAGAGGAGAAAGGCACTAAACTGGGTAAGCCCAATGGACTAGGAAGGGACTGCATCCAGACCCTCCAGGGTATAGCGGCAGGGCCCTCCTCAGCGGATTACCACCCCTCCCTCCGTGGAGCAGAGAGGAAGGACGGGCTTTCCAATCTCCCTCAGGACTGGGGGGCCGTGGGTGGGGGAGGAGGGGACGGCGGGCGATCGTAAGAGGGAAATTCCTTTGCTGAGAGATGCACAGAAGCCACAATGGTGCAGAGATGGCGCAGGGAGAGGGCCCAAGCACAAGCCCATGAAGAGCCAGGAGAGGGATTGGATAGTTTGAAAGAAAGCTTACTCCTTCCCAAACCCAAAGAGATATAATCAAAGCTTAACAAAGGCCCAGGGTTTGCTTGTTCCTATGCTCATTCTCTCCCCTTTATCAGTTGCACAGTCACGACCCCAGTGCCATCGAGCCTGGGCAGCAGACATGCCAATAGGGAGATGAGACACGGGCAAGCGCAGCCGGGAACAGAGACTGAGCTAGACCACGGAGGCTGTGGATGCCGATGCCAGGGTAACGGCACAGCATCTCTGCGCCCTGGCCGTTCTCCTGGGATTGGCGAGGACAAGTATGGGCCTGTGGCTCCAGGGGCCGGACTCTTCTCTCAGCAAGACAGAGCTGAGCCATCTGGTCTTGGATGAGCTATCGGGCACCTGGGGACAGTCCTCTGTTTTCGCTCCAATAAATCTTGCCACAATACCACCCCTCCTCCGATGCATGTATCCTTGAAATGCGTTTCCTGCAAAACCATGAAAGAACCCTGTTTCCACCAGCAACAGGGTGAACTGAAGGTGAGCAGAGAGAGGGGCCAGAAGGCCACTTGGAGGCTTGTCAGTAGACTGGGGAGAGGAGGGAGGGAAATGGTGGAGTGGAGGAGGGCTCCTGAATGCTGGAGGGCCTGAATGCAAAGCGTGGGAGACAAACAATGAGCAAAAAGCAGAGAGGTGGGAGCAACAGCTGGAAGGGAGGAGCTTGAGCACTGAGCATACTCCTTCCTCCCTCGGCCAGCCGGCCAGCCATGGTCCTGTAGTGCTGTGAATGGACTCAAGAAAGGGGTGAGATCCATGCTGACCAACACTGATGAGACCTGCAGACAAGGTGCTATTCCTTTTGTATGCAACTTTCCTCCCTCCAAGGGCTCCCTGTAAGTTCCTAGACTTCTTGCCAGAGACGTGAGCTGTTTGCTATTTTATGAACCTCTTAAATCCTTAACAGAGTTAATAGAGACAAATGATGTTGAAAAACACATGCTGAGCGTCTCCTTGCTGTCTCCTCACAGAGCCTGGCATAGCAAATGCCCTGCACGCAACGAGCTCTGAGTGAGCAATGATTGACAGCGGAAATTACACTCCCGTCAGAGCCACACAGCTGTGTTTTCGATCCCACTGATTCAGTATTTCCCATCAGAAACAGCTTTTGGGCTTTCAGTATTGCAACCGGTTTGCCCTCACGTACATAAAGGTGCAAAGCATGTGTTGTCTTTCGTGATGCAAGAAAACTGTCTCTCTAGCAATCCGAGGCACATCAACAGTCATTCAGAAAGCAATCCTTTCCTTGTTTCTCAGATGCATGGGGAAATGAAATCTGGCAGTCCACGTGAACTGAGGACAGGCTGGCTCTTCCAGTTACGGGACCGAAGAGAAGCCAAAGGACGTGGGGCATTCTGGAAACTTAAGAGCAAACTGGCTCATCACTCAGATGTAACCAACCACACCTGCACTGTCCAATGCAGCGCCCCCTACCCACACGGAGCTCCTTACATCAATTCAAGTTACAGAGGATTTAAAGTGTAGTTTTTAGACCCCGCCACATGACAAGGGACCTACAGCCACAGGTGACAGAAGCTACCACACTGGGTGACAGGTACACAACGTCCACCATCACAGAAAAGTCTCTTGGACAGTGCCCAACCAGAGCAAAAAAAGGGCCTATTCTGCACCCACTGACTGGTGTAATAGGTTGGCTTCCGAGACAGATATCCTTAAGTATGTTTTCAGACTTTGGAGTTCACAGATCACTAGGCTTTGAGGCCCATCAAGGCAGGCAGGCAGGCACTGGGCCTTCTTACTGCTCAGCGTCATAACCCAAAGCCTGGTTCGCAGTATGTGCTCAGTAACTATTTGCTGAATATGTGATCATGCGTGTACACATGCAGACATGTATATACATATATACACATACCCTTACTTTTTCATTTTACCTTTGGCACATGAAAACTCACTAGTTGACCCCAGTCACCTGAAAGGTGCTTGGATTCTATGCACACACGTGCACAGGCTGGATTAAGTCACAGAATGAATGCGTCATCTAACGTTTTCTGAGAACTTTATGTTAATAAACATTTCTAGCAAAATATTCCAAATCTGAATGGGCTTCTCTAAATTGGCTGTTTCATAACCACCCATGAGGGGGAGCGAGGGGGAAGCAGCCAGCTGCACGGGTTTTCAGTGGCACCAGACTGCCCTCTAGTGGTAAAATCAGTACCTGTGTACTGTTCAAGTCAACTTTTATTTTAAACAACAAGTTATTTATGTTTCTAGTAACATTAAAACCTTTACTGACGTGTAATCACTCTAAGAATCAGCCCAAATATGTACCTAGACCTTTAAATATGAAATCTGGCAAGTCGTACTGGTGAAAAAGATAAATTAAGGAAGCTCTGTCACAGAACTCTCCAATCAAGTCATTCCTACACCTGGGAAATGGTGAAATACACCCACGAGGGCTGCTCTTTGGAGTTAATACTCTAGATCTTTCCGTTCATCCTTTGGTTTAAAAAAATACACTGCTTTCAAATTCAGATGCTGTTGTACAGTTTATTTATTGTCTAAAACCAACAATCTTTGCTGCATTCAACTCCTTTTTCACTTTCATCTTAATAGCCTTCTTTCTGTTTCCTCATACAAAACATTCCTTGAAAGTGTTTTGATTGTTCTTTTAAACTTTACAAGCAGTGATAAATCACATCCAAAGTGGGTTTTGAATTAAACGATAAAAATGTGACCTTGATCGTTTCAGAGTTTTTGCAAACTTCACTTTGATATACTATGCCCTTGAAAGGGTAGCCATTCTATAATATTTAGGTATATGGTTTTTAACCTTGACATGTTTTTTTTTTAAAGGCAGCTGAGACTTCCGGTCGAGATGGTTCCAGTCAAGAAGGAGGCATAGGTAGACATGCTTCACCTCCTCGAACAACCATAGAAAAGGATCACAACTAGATTTCAAAACAAGTTAACACCAGAACTGTCAGAAAACCGAGCTGTATGGAAGTCTGACAACCAAGGATTTAAAGAGGACACATTCATCCAAACAGACGGGAGCGGTGGGGACGCAAGGAGATGCAATGTGGTAGAAAGGCGGGGGCAGCAAACGGACAATCACACATTCACCTATGGTGGATGAAAGTTGGGAGGGACACTTTGGGAGCAGACAATCACTGCCCCACGTCATACTGCAGAGTCTAGGGTTCCAGTGCTAGGAAGATAAATCCCCATAACATCTGGCTGTAAATACCAGTGGGGGTTGGGGTGGCAAAAGAAATTGCTGGATTTTCAGGAGACGGCTTAAAGGGCCTGCAGGGACTTAACACATACGCAAACGCCCAGTTGGGAATTCACCACCAGGGCAACAGCTGGGAGGGCGCCAGCCGCACACAGAGAGTGGGTGAAGTGCCTGGAAACAGGGCAAGTGCTGAGCGAACCTCCAGAAGCCAGGCAGCGGCACTGCCCGCTCTCTGAGCCCTCCCCCCACATACAGCCACAAAGTGGTGAAGTGGGTTGCTCTGCCCTGGCAAAAACCTAAGGCTCCACTCCAAAAAATTTACAGTTGCCTTTTTACAATAGGCCATGTTACTAAAAGAGTCAAAGCAGCTCTACCTAATACACAGAAACAAATACAGGGAGGCCACCAAATTGAGGAGACAAAGAAGTATGGCCCAAATGAAAGAGCAAAACAAAACCCCAGAAAAAGAACTAAAGGAAATAGAGATAACCAACCTATCAGATGCAGAGTTCAAAACACTGGTGATCAGGATGCTCAAAGAACTCACTGAGTGCAGCAACAACATAAAAGAAGAAATGAAGGTTACACTGAGTGAAGTAAAGAAAAACCTACTGGGAACCAACAGTGGAGGGGAGGAAGCCAGGATTCAAATCAATGATTTGGAACATAAGGAAGAATAAGGATTCAACCAGAACAGCAAGAAGAAAAAATAATTTTTTTAAAAATGTGGATATTATAAGGACACTCTGGGACATACCAGATCACTGGTACGTTATCTCCAAATGTACCAAAATCCAAATCATAGGGATGCCAGAATGGGAAGAGGAAGAGCAAGAAAATGAAAACTTACCTGAAAAATTAAAGAAAACTTCCCTAATTTGGAGAAGGAAATAGACATACAAGTCTAGGAAGCACAGAGTCCCAAACAAGTTGGATCCAAAGAGGACATCATCAAGACACATCATAATTAAAATGCCAAAGGTTAAAGATAAAAGAGAGAACCTTAAAAGCAGCAAGAAAAAAGCAGATGGTTACCTACAAAGGAGTTCCCATAAGACTATCAGCTGATTCCTCAAAAGAAACCTTACAGGCAAGAAGGTGCTGGAAAGAAGTACTCAAAGTCATGAAAGGCAAGGACCTACAACCAAGATTACTCTATCCAGCAAAGCTTTCATGTAGAACGGAAAGGCAGACTTCCAGCCAAGATGGAAGCGGCATAGGTAGACACACTGTGCCTCCTCACACAACTGAAAGGAGAACAAATTTAAAAACAAAAAACAACCAGAACTGACAGAAAATCTAACTGTATGGAAGTCTGACAACCAAGGAGTTAAAGAAACATTCATCCAGACTGGTAGGAGGGGTGGAGATGAGCAGCCAGGTGGAGGGAACTCATGGCAAAGCAGGGCTGGAGAACCAGGGCAGGCGAGGAGGTGTGTGGTGGAGCAGGTGGTCCCCTGTGTGCGTGCGGATAAACCAAGAGAAACAACTGGGAAGTGAGACAGACCACGCAACCCAAGGTTCCAGTGCGGGGAAATAAAGCCGTAAAACCTCTGAAAAAACCTGTGGGTGTTGAGGTGGCAGGAGAAACTCCCAGCCTCACAGGAGAGTTCGTTGGAGAGACCCACAGGGTCCTAGAAGGTACACAAACCCACCCACCCAGGAATCAGCACCAGAAGGGTCCAATGTGCTTGTGGGTAGTGGGGGAAGTGACTAAAAGCTGACAGCTGAACAAGCAACACTGCTCCCTCTCAGACACCTCCCCACACACAGTACCACAAGGCAGTGACATGGGCTACCCCACCCTGGTGAACACCTAAGGCTCTGTCCTGTACTATGTGACTGGCGTGCAAAGACAAAAGAAAAATGGCCCAAATGAAAGAACAGATCAAAGCTCCAGAAAAAACACAACTAGCAACGAAGAGATAGCCAACCTATCAGATGCACAGTTCAAAACACTGGTGATCAGGATGCTCACAGAACTGGCTGAGTATGGTTGCAAAATGGAGGAAAAGGTGAAGGCTATGAAAAGTGAAATAAAGGAAATGTACAGGGACGCAACAGTGACAGGAAGGAAACCAGGACTCAGATTAGCGGTTTGGACCAGAACAAAGAAATAAACAGTCAATCAGAACAGAATGAAGAAACAAGAATTCAAAAAACTGAGGAGAGGCTTAGGAACCTCCAGGACAACTCTAAATGTTCCAACATCCGAATCATAGGGGTGCCAGAAGGAGAAGAGGAAGAGCAGAAAGTTGAAAACTTATTTGAACAAACAACAAAGGAGAACATCCCCAATCTGGCAAAGGAAATAGACTTCCAGGAAGTCCAGGAAGCTCAGAGAGTCCCAAAGAAGTTGGACCGAAGGAAGCACACACCAAGGCACATCATAATTACGTTACCCAAGATTAAAGAGGAGGAGGAAATCTTAAAAGCAGTATTAAAGTCTAAATCAAACCTTACAATCACTGCTAGGCTACACCAATCTTTTAATCATCAAAACACATCACCCATGAGAGAGAGATTATACCCCTTTTACAGATACTAAGACTCAAAGAACACTTATGAAAGACAGAGAACCAGAATTTCCTAATATCAAAATGAAAACTTTTCAGCTTCCTCTTACCCAAAGGAAAACTGAGAGTAAAATCTACATCCCAAACATGTCTTGAATTAAAATGAACAGATTATAACTTGGCAGTATGTGTCAGAACTTTTAACACACACACACCCTGTGACCAACCAATGTCACTTCCAGGATCTTACTTCTCCTAGTAAGGAAACTAAGATGTCTGTGGAAGGATGTTTACTAAAGCAGTGTTTATAACAGCAAAAATTAGAACCAACTGAATATCCATCCGGTCAGGTACATTATGGCACAAACCCATGATGGAAAACCATGTCGCCAGTTAAAAGAATGAGGCAGCTCCAGATATCCAGGCAGGTAAGGATGTCTTGGGCACACTGGTAAGCAAAAAGGTGACAGAGTATGTACCATATGTATGTTCTCACTTTATATTAAACTCTGTGTGCACATGTGTGTGTGATGCGTGCTGTGGAGCAGAGACAGACCTGGGGGAGCACGTCAACTTCCTCGGGAAGAAGTAACAGGGTCGGGGAGCGGGCGGTGGGGGCAGGGAGCAGGCCTCCTCTCTTATGTTTTACCTTTAGAAGTGTATATTGTTGGAAGTTAACAATTACTTTCAAAATAAAAAGGAGTCTGGAGACTAATTTTCTAAAGAATAAAGAAGAGCTTATAAAAGCCCTTAAAACAAAAGGTAAAATCCTCTGCCCCACCCCCAAGGCAGGGGGGGCCCGGGCAGGGCAGCACGACCACCGAGCCCTCGCTCGGAAGCCCGCTCGGGAAGCTGTGCACTAGTCACCGATGCGCACCTTCACGGCCAGCGATGCTTCTGCTTTCAGACCACGTCATACATGTCAGAATAAAGGCTCTTATAAGTATACATCTTAAAATGTGTAAAATACTTCAACAAATGACTAACGCTGCATAATTTTGCTACACTTCATTCAAAATCGGCCCTACCTCCTAATTACTGGGTTGGCCAAAAAGTCTGTTTTGTTTTTTCCATAAAATAAAAGACAGGTTTTTCATTTTCACCAATAATTTTACTGATTTGGATATTTTGAATATGTCAGCTATACCATGTCTCTCACATGGTATAACACTGACTGTTCTCAATTAATGTTTCGATTTGATCGCTATCAACTTCAGCTGGTCTACCTGACCGTGGAGCGTCACCCAGCGAGAAATCCCCAGCATGAAACTCTGCAAACCACTTTTAACATATTTGATCAGTCACAGCACCTTTCCCGTATACTGCACAAATCTTTTGTGTTTCAGTTGCATTTTTACCTTTCTTGAAATAATAAAGCATAATATGCTGAAAATGTTGCATATTTTCTTTCATCTTCAATATTAAAATGGCTACACAAAAATTCACCAATTTTGACAAGTTTTTTTTTAAATGCATGCTGATATGACAGCTGTCACAATACAAGCTAACAAAAGTGTTTCAAATGAAGTCAAAGACAGCTAAGCACCTTACAGAAGAAAAACAAATGAACTTTGTGGCCAACGCTGTATTTGAGAACTATGAGTCTAGTGTCCGAATGGAAATACCTATCATGCATGGAAAAATAATCTTCAAATTTGTGCTCTGATCCAAATTTGACACATTTAAATCATAACACAAGTCAGACACCTCATATATAACAAAACCCTAAAAGTGGCATAGGAAGTTAGCTATGATACCACTTGTCAAACTCTCAAACTGAATTGTAATCTTCTGAAGTTATACACACCACAATACACCTTTGCACAGGTAATTTTATTCTCTCCTGTGGGTGTCAACAAAGCTCATCAATTATATTTAAAACATTCAGAAAGCACATATCTGAATATTGTCACATATCTTCACATCATGATCAAGTAACTATTTAACAGTTATGTCTACTGAATACAGTGAACAAAATGGTATAAATGTTTATACCATTCCCTTGTAAACAAGGCTTTTGTGCACAATAGTAACAAATGGAATTATGCCTATCACAACATCGATGAGGAAAGACCTCTTTAAATAAACTATTCTGTTTATAAATAGACTCTGATTTTTTTTAGTACACATTTACAGACCTGATCAATAAAAAGAAACGAGACATACATTTCCCTTTAAAAAGAAACTGTTCAGAAATGGACTACAATGGGAGAATTCACCTAGGAAAAGGGGTCACGAGCAAGCAAAGGATAACAGAGTTAAAGGTACTGCCATACTTCAGCCTATTTCTGTTAGCTATTACACCAACACAAGGACAGGGCTGTCTGGGAGGAGCTCGTTTTTACTTGAATTCCAGCAAGTTGCAATCAATCTTGTAGTATACATAGGGGTAGTATTCCTGTTGACTCAGGTTTAAGCCTGGAATATCCATAGGTGCCTATGAAAAATTAGACAAATTATTTGATTATGTACTTACAGAAAGCAAACAAAGAAAGTATTACCATTTACCTTCCATTAACACCTACCCTGGACTAAGTTTATGCATTTATGCTAATTTAACCTCAGGTACACATTATCTCAATTTGCAAATGAGGAAACAATCCCAGAAAGGGCGACTTGCCCAAGGAAACAGACAGACACACAGTGAGTGGGAAGGCCAACTTCAAGCCCATTCTGACACCAATGCTTGTGTGTTTACCATGATCCTACCCCTCTGTACGTAACTGTAAAAAATTATTTTTTCTCAAGCTTGGGGTATTTGGTTTATGGGACACAAGGCTTATAAAATATTGAGTAGCAATAAACCAAATATGGTTTTAAAGATATCATATGTATGTATGTTATAAGAATTTACTGGTAGGTCAAATATTTAGACCTCATATTTTATTGACAATTCCATGAAAATGCAGAAGGTCATTTCTTGCATTTTCTTCTATCAAATAAACCTAAGTTTTCATGGGTTCTAAACTAATGTACGTGTGAGATACACCATCCTAAACTAAAGAGGAAAAGTATCAACATGTTTGAAATCAAAAATATAAAATAAAAGCCTACTACAATCTTAAACAGCAGCAATGACAAAAAACACATATACTTTGTTTATATTTTCTGTATAAAAGATATAAACACACACCATTTTAGAAAAACAATTTGCTTTACAATGCTTGTCTGTTTAACTCATTACTTCTACCAAGTGAAAATAACTGCTAATTTTCTTCTCTGCAACTTATAATTTTTGTAGACAAATAATATCACTGATTGGTTCTACATTTCTGCAACTATATACATCTGATTTATAGCAAGATAATAATTGGCTTTTAGGAATCGAAGCTCTAACTACCATAAAGCAGAGTAAACAAGGTAAATTACTTGCTACATTTATCTAACAAGCTAATTGAAAATCTCAATAATAAAAACAAAATGAGTTATCACAATGTTCACTATCCCTTTTCTGTCTTTTCCAATCATTTTTTCCGAAACTCATTCCAGTTCTTATTCTGTAAGGCTATCTAACAAGTACTTACATCAATAATAGCTGCCGCACTACTATCTAGATGTTTATACAATTCATATAATACTTCTCTTAGTCTCTTCATTGTTTTCTTATTGGGCTGAAGTAGCATTGCTTGAAAGTTCACTGGCAGGCCATACCTTATAAGGAAGCAAAAATATAGTATCTAACACAAAAAAACACATAGACTTTATAAAGCAAATACTCTCATACTGTTCTTGAAGCATAGCTAATGGGAAGAAGGTACCTCATACCAACAACCACCTCCACAAGTTCAACTAACATACACAGAAACTCAAACCTTCTCTGGTCCTCATTGTCCACTGGGTATTTTTCTTTAAAATTAGAGCCAACTGTCTACTAGAAATTACTTTAATTACTCTTCAATTTTTAAGGGAATCTATGAATAAAATAATGATAATATATAAACTTAATAAATACTTTCATGATAAACAACATGAAATTAACCACATCTACTTTAAAAATTCAAAGTAATTTAAAAAGAGTGAGCATAGCTGCAGATGTCTTTAATAATCTCTAATATGAGTAACAGGTACAGAAGATCATAGGATATTTAGATTTTAAGTATGTCAAATATGAACTATTTTTGGTTAAATAAAACAATGATTTCAAATAAAAGTCATTACTATACTGTGTACCAAACTACATGTAAATATCTGAAAGATCTTTCTTTTAAACAAACATTGGCTAATATTTTATGATCTACTTTTAACCTAAACAAACATATAAGGAAAAGTCGCAGAGGATAGCAGCACGGACCTCTCTGTCTGAACCCAGCGTTAAGGGACACAACAAGTGTGCACGTAACAAGCTGTACGACACGGGCAATCTCCGCTCGTGACTGGCCCTCTGGTTTCTACAAACGCATTTCCTACTACTGGGCCGCGTGTTACAGTGAAGAGGTCCGATATAAGGGCACCTACGAACTCTTCAGATCCAAGTTTCTCAATTAACTTTCTTTACCTTAGAACAGATTCAACAAAAACCCTCAAGGCTTTCACATGAATCCACGCAATAAATGCTTCACTGAAATTCACTTTCAGCCACCGCACAAGTGGTCCCTATAAAGAAGGAAAAAAATCACCACAAACTTGGTCTTGAAAAATGGCAATTAGGTATTAGAAGAATCAACTGGCTTTATTAGACATTTAACTGGTTAGGGTTAGATTTCTCCCAACTGAGACAATATGGTTTATAAAGTACTTAAAATAATTTAAAGTGAAACTGCCTGTATTTTCCTTTTCACTACAAGAGAAACACCTTTGCACTAATCACGTCTCCCCTGCCGTATAATCCCTTGGTCCTCACAATTATCCTGTATTTTAAGACGGCAAGAGAGTGGACACCAAACCCACGCCTGTTCCCCATTTTGCCTAGAATATCGTAACTCTCTAATGGTTTAAGTACAAATGGCTTCAGTAAAACACTGTGGCATTTAAAAAACCCGCTTTAAGAAAGTGAAAATTGTTACTGAAGAGAGAAAACTACACTACTTAAATCGCCCATTCCACTGCAGGGGCTCTGACTAACACCCTGAATTTAAAATGAATTTCTGATATGGCTTGAGATGGAGTAATGAATTTTAGGTATGTAAAGATAATCATTCACAAACCCAAGCTTGTTTAGAGAAAATTCCTTCTGATTATTTCATAGAAAAAGTAATTAAAATCAAATGTCTTAAATGAAAAATCAGAGTATTGCTGTCTTTTAAATCAAATAAAAGCAACACCAGTTTTTCTTCTGCTTAACACTGAGAACACTAAATATTAAGAACACATACAAATTGCTTTTTCTTGTCAGTAGAAAGCCTGTTCATTTCTTCTTTGTCTGCTTTCATCTCCTCTTCATTATACTGGAAGTCACGAACAATGAATCTAAATTTGGGAGGAAAAACCAAAATTGTCCATACCATGCACTGGTGATTTAACAAGTTAAAAAACAAACAAACAAACAAACAAACAAAAAACCAGTAATCTTACTTGTTTTCCCTGGCTTTGTGTCTGAAGTCATCAACTGCCTTCCTGAACAACGTGACATTACAAAGGTAACTATCTTGGTCCTCTGAGAGAACACTATGGAAAAAAGACAAAGTCCGTTGAAAACTTGGTGTGTACCTGCTCTCTCTCACACGGAAGACAGAAGGCAGCAACAGTGCAGGAGGAGGATACGCAGACCAAGCAGCCCTTCCCAAACCTGCCTCCACACTGAAGACACAGTGTTCCCGATGTTTCTGCTTACCGTCATAGCCCACATGACATCTACTGCTTCCGAACCAATAGTGTTAAACAGGAACTCAAGTAAAGCATCCAAATGCTATGAAGCATAATTTTCAATCCACATCAGTGCTGGGCTGGCTGAGGCAAAACTGTCCCTTAGCGGGTTTGTTCCCCGAGTCTCCTGTTTCCTTGCTAAGCATCCTCTTCTCTCTGGAAACCTAGCTCTCTGTTCCCCTCTCCAGCCCACCCTCTGCACTGCCAGCACCTCCTTCCTCAGATCTTTCCCTTTCTCTCACTGCAGCCTAGATCAAACCTTACACAACTGCCTAAATAACCTCTGAGAAAACACACTTTCATATTCATCTCAGGGCTCCGCATGTGGCTTTAGAAGATCCCGGTGAGGCCAGCACTTCTACCCAGTCACAGCTCTCCTGGTCACCACTGAAAAGACCTGCCACCTTCTCGGCTCCCCAGGCCACCTACCTGCCTGGTTGTCAAGACACCTTCCCTGCTTTTCTTCATAAAAGTGATCTCTGCGATCTCTGCTGCGAAACACAAGAAAGTTTTCTCGGCAAAACAGCTTTTGTGTGGTTTGTTCCAGGCCTTCCTAGTTCGGCTCCTGCGCCTCACCTGCAGCCCTAGGCCCCTGAACTAACACCTCCAGGAAGCCCCGCTGGGCCTGCAGCACTGCTTCTAACCACTGAGAAAGACAGAAGGGAACAGTGATCGGACCTAATCAAACCACCTTAACAAGTGAAAATGCATGGACGAAAAAGAAAGTGGTAATTCTGAAAGCACGAATGAGAAGCACCTCGCTCTGAACAGTTTTTCAACCAAAAAGAAGAACAGCAGCCCGTGCTCCGCTTCTTTGCTACACTGACAAGCATTTATGCACATCCCTGCGCATAACTACACGGCATGGCACTACTGCAAACTGTCCAAGAGTTTAAGACTTTAGGTAGAACATTTTGCAGATTTTACGCATTTTTAAAAAAGACTGTTCCAGGTTTGAGATGGTATTTCTCAATCTATTCTTCTACTTCAGAATTCCACACTTTCATCTTCACTTCCCCCCAAGACAGTCACTCAAGTGTTGCACCAAAAAGCAACAAGTCAAAGTATTACTACTTATAAATGAGTTTTTATAAAGCACTTAGAACAATGACTATCACAAAGTAATTAGTAAAAAATGTTAAGTACTATGATAGCCAAAAAGAATGTAGCCTCAAGGCACAGAGATCTTTCCTCAACAGCGGACAACACTCCCGATGAACCCACTGGGCCTGCCTGCCCTCCCCAGCCCCCCCCACCCTGTGAACTAACCGTCCTCCCGGTGCAGGCTGCACCTCTGCTCTGCTCTTGACGACTAAACGCAAACAGAAGTGTTCCCGTCAGCGATTCCAAATGGCGTCTGGGCGGAGACACAGAGCAGCACAGAGTTCCCGCTGGGTGAGGAAGGGCTGGGAACGCTCAGGTGGTCAGTGGGCGCCTACGGGTCGGTCAGAAGACCAGTACTGCCCGCACTAAATCGGTACTGCCTGCCACTTTCCCCCTGAAACTACTAAAGTGATTTTCAGATGTACATTTCTAAAGTAGTATTTTACAGTCCTTCTTTCAGAGTAAATCTGGGCCTACTTAACCAGCCTGCTCACCATTCCCCTGGAACTCAGGTCTGGCACACATACAACTCGGGCGGACATCCTGTGTGTTACTCTCGTCCCTCCCTGGCCTCCCAGACAAAGCCGACCTCTCCGGTTCTAATGCCCGCAGGGCATGGGGGTGTGAGACATGCTCTCTGTCAGAATAAAGAGCTTCAGCAGAAAACCAGCATCAAGACCCTGCCCTGTTTACCACATGAAGGGCTGATGTGAGTGGAAGGTACAGTGCCCCTCCCAGTTCTCACTCTGAAATTCATGATGGGCACAGGTTTGTGGTTTAGGTCTCAAAAATACTCAACATTTGTGAAACTACAATACTAATCACATGACTTTATATTTTGTAAGTCTTATCAAAGCCTTAAAATAACCTCACAACATGTACAAGGTAGGTGCTCTACTCACTTTACAAAGAAAATGAGGCCCAGAGAAGTTAAAAGACTTACCCCAGGTCACACAGCAAGTTGGAAGCAGAACGAGGAATAGAACTCAGACCCCTGGGTCCAGGACTCTTCCCACTATACTAAGCTACCTCCCATTTGACACAATGAAACTGGGAAAGAAAACGGTTCACGGGCCTGGCCTCACGAGTAGCACTTCCTACTGTCACCCATGCTTTCCTTCACCATGCCGCCACCTCCGAGGGTGCGGGTGCGAGTACACACACTGCCATTCAATACCGTCCCAGAGAACGCCTGGTGCGGAACAGCAGAATACAGAGAAAATGAGACGGCACGGTGTCAGAAAGAGTACACGCCTGGGAGCGGGGTCTGACTCCGCCACGGGGCACGGGAGAGCCTTAGGCCTTAAGCAGCTATTTAAGTCTTCTGCATTCTGACTTCCTCGTCTGTAAGAGTAACTCTTCAGACGACCTCACAGAATTGTTATAAGCAGACAATGTATGTTAGTCTATAAATTATAAAGTGCTTAATAAAAGTTTTTTTTTAATGGAAAGTATAAATCAGGTAGAACGTGCCACTGGACAATGGCAGTGGCGATTCGGAGGGCAACACAGAACCCTAAAGCCGCCCTGGTGCGCCGCCTTCACAAGGGAGTGAGCACTCGCCGCAGGCACCCTGGAACACTGAACAAACCATCTTCGGAAGGCAGCACGGTACAGCAGAAAAGGTGCCACACCAGAGACCTGGGTTCCAGTGCTAGCCCTGCATTCCCAGGACGTGTGACTCTGGGCAGACCACCTCACTTCTGTGGCCGCAAACGTCTACATCTGTAAACACGAGTGGGTGAATTGGACTGTGTGTCCCTTCCAGGTCTAAAATTATGATAGCTAGAATTAATATAACTTATTTATAAGGTGAAAAAGATGGTTCCAAAAGTATAAATTTCCCACAAAGATATTTCCTAATCCAACATCCAAATTATGAAAGGAATTTTCTAGGAAAGAAACGGATTACAAAGACTACTACTTACTTGCTAGACCTTGGAACTACCATTTCAGCTAGTGTTTCATACTGCTTAATCCAGTCATTGTGGTTTAACCTGCAGAAAAGGTACAACAAGCATTGGAAAAGAAAAATAAGTCCTACCTCCTGCCACATCCAGAAAGAAAAGAAATCATGGGACAAATAGGAAATTTGGCTATAGTAAATATATGTCAAATCTATCTAATAAAAATATTTACATTTCCTACTGAGAATGAATTTCAAACAAACTGAGTGAAGAGGTAACTATGGTTCACCACCCTTATATCCACTACCTACTGCAAAGCAGACACATCCTAGAGCTGAGTTTGGAAAGGAAGTAAGGCAAAACATATTTTCTAAATTACTTTCAAACTTTAGGGTTGACATGTATTACCTCATGCAAGAAAGAAAGGGAGAGAAAGAGACAGGGAGAGAAAGAGAGAGAGAGAAAGAGAGAGAGAGAAAGGGAGGGAAGCAGGGAAAGAAAGAGGCCACACCAAGAGCACTGTCACTTCCTGTTGGCGGCCATGTGAAGGCTGGACACAAGGGTATTTACTGAAAGCACTGAGTGCCAGGAAGTGTTGAGCAAAGTGCCAGTAAACCCTGCTGCCACAGAACAATTGTGCAACAACCTTCTCTAGAGAACACTGGCTTTGGGGGTTGTGGGAAGAGACAATTATGTCTATAATTTAAAATAAAGAACTATGGTATTTGTAGGCCAGGACAGAGAATAATTCATTATTACCTTATATAAGGTAATGCCTTGGTCCTATGTTTCAATTACAGTGTAGAGAAAACTATGAAAACTTCTGGTTTTAAACACAAATTTTATTTTTTTCGGTGGGAGGGGGAGGAAGGGAGAAAGGAAGGGAGGGAAACATTGATGTGCAAGAGAAACATTGACGGTTGCCTCTCACATGCCCCCAGCTGGGGACCTGGCCTGCAACCCAAGCTTATGCCGCTGCCTGGGAATCACCTGGTGACCTTTCAGATCATAGGCCAGCGCTCAATCCACTGAGCCACACCAGCCAGGGCCATCATTTGCTTCTTATATGGCTTAATTCATCCTAACCAAGCATAGAGATTTTTCAAAAAACAAAAACACAAGAACAAAGAGCTCTATATCTTGAAAAATTTAAATCTATTTTCTAAATCAAATACTTTAACCTAACTTTTTAATGAGCCAACTCTATTAAGCTGCTAAATTCATTTTGGTGCTTCAGTTTATAACTGAGGTCTCAGGTTATAACTAAACTCGACCATCCGTGCCACGTGGGTATGCTGGTTGACAGAAGGAAGGGCAGGTGACAGTCCCTTTACCTTCAGGTTTTATGGAAAGCCTAAAATTACCATACCAGTTTTGACCACTTTTCTTGTATTTTAACAAGTAAAAACCTTCGTAATAAAAAGACATACTTGGGAACTACAACCAGTAACGTGACGAGATACTCTGAATCAAGAACGAAGTCATCCTTCTTCACAATTTCTGCTAGACTTCTAGTTAGCAAACTTCCCCTGAGGAAGGAGAAAGAAATCATTAGGCTGATAATTACATGCTCCCACAACACAAGTAAAGAAACAGCAAGCTAATTATATCCACATATACTATACAGACATCTCAAGAGAGACACTGGTCTAGTTAACATTTTTACTTTATAAGTTGTCAAAATTTAGCCATTTCTCACCCCTACAACCAAAAAAATGTCAATTTATCAAAATAGGTCTCAAGTGTCTCCCTTCGTGTTTGCTCTAATTAATGTAACTTGGGTCTTCTCTTGATTACATATGTAATATCTAGACTGAGAAAGTGTTATTCATTAGATTTTAATTAAAGTCTATTTCATTGTAATTATGAAATGATATGATCTCAGCACAACCCTTGGTTCTCCTCCCTCTCCCTGGGTATCATTTGATACCAGGCAATTTTGGTTAGTTAGCCCAGTAGTCAGCTCTTCCAAATCAGTCTTCATCTGGTCTCCCAGTACGGATCCTCTGCTGATGGATGTATCTTGCCTGTTCACACCACTGACAGTATACGAATCAACCAGCTTTTCCTCTGGGATATAAATGCTTAACAGTTAAGTGCTTAAAGCTGTGCTTGTAGTAGTCCTGCTACCAGGAGATCAGCCAAAAGGAATGTGTTCAGTTTAAGGAAACCTGTGCAAAACCTCTAAACTGGGAAAACGAAGAATGAGTACTGCATTATAAAAGGATTCTTCTACAGAAGTCTTTTAACCAGATTCTGCAATTAAACTATGATTTAAAACAATTTTAGACATTTTTTCATCAAATGCACAAAGGCATAAACCAGGGTTGAGCTCTTAAGTATCACTCGCAAGTATGAAAAATCAGTTTCACGTCTATTTTGATTAGACTCAATTAATAAACTTTTCTCCATGAAGTGAAAAAATAAATAGCTGTAACTCACTAAACCCCAACAATATCTCATTCAGTGCATGCTAGAATACTTCTCTGATTTTTTTTCTAAATCCTTGCTCAGGGATATGTTTATTGATTTTAGAAAGAGAGAGGAAGGGGGCGGGGGGGGGGAGAAACATGGATCAGCTGCCTCCTGTACACACCCCAGCCAGGGATCAAACCTGTAACCCTTTGGTGTGCAGGACGACACCCCAACCAACTGAGCCACCCGGCCGGGCACTTCTGTGATTCCTCATATTCACAAACACTGGGTATGCTTACGCATTCTTTCGTTCCAAATTCTGAAGATTCCCCTTCAGGTTATTATATGCAGATGCTCGAGATTTCAGGTCATTGTCGATCTGAGTTACTCCCTTTAAAAAAAAAAAAAAAAAGAGGCCAGGTATTCCTAATCTACATCTGCTAATATAAGGTAACTGTACTTAAACAAACATTAACTTTAAAAAAAACAACTCCTAGTTCCTGATGTAAAAATATTCTGTTTTTTAAAGCACAACTTTAAAAGGTCATTTAAGAAAATAACCTAATGGGGGGAAGGTGTATTAAATGGTAATGGAAAAAAAATACAATAAAGATTAAATTTAAAAGAAAAAAGAAAATAACATACTTTCATAACATATTTCTAATAACAATGGTAACTTCCATATGAATCTTTTTTACTCAAGATAATATTTTAGTCTTCGTGTATTTTAATTATTTACTGTATTACTTCTTAAACCTAAATGGAATCTAGGCCAACAGGTTTAGAGATTATTAATTAAAAAGCTTTAATTCACAAGGCTGACGGACTGTTCCCAAAAGGAGCTAAGTTAGTTTTATTGTTCACAACTCTACTATTATTACACAAAGAGTTTTCTCAATGTAATTTGAATTGCAGTTGAATTTATTTATGAATGTTACAAGAGCTGATTAAAACTGCTAACAATTAGGGAGAAAACACAAAGCAGTGGATTTCACACTTGAGTACCTTGAGTCTGGCCCCTTAAACCATTTAACCATCCTGACATCCTGATTTAATATTTGAAAAACCAGCTTCAGCTCAGCTCTACCATTATTACTTAGCCGTGTGATACTGGGTAAGTCACTTCACTTACTCTGAGCCTGCTTCCTCATCTATCATAATATCAGGAAGAGGAACACTAAATCCTTGACAAGAATTGAAAGAAAATAGGCTCAGTCATAGTATGAGCACTACTGTATAATATTATCAAACTATTAATTCTCATTAAATTACATGATGACTTTAGTTAAATACTTGAAAATCTATTCAGTTACATTTAACTATAGAGTAGACTATACAAATAAAGTCATTGAGAATCAAGAAATGTCTGTCCAAGTAATTTACACCACACTTTTTATTCTATAGCCAGGTCACAAAAATACTAACAACAGTAAGTCTTCATCTATTTGCCTCATTATAATTTCAGGTTAAGACTTCTATATTGCCTCTCAAGCTCCAGGACTTTGCAATATAAAAAGGAGCTTTTAACTCAGTGAGTTCATGGATGGGCTGCAGGATTTGTGTACTCCCTGGAGCTGTTCATAAAATCACGTGGTACATAAACACAGGCACCATTCCAGGTAGAGAGGCAATACTGAATGTCAGAAGGCATCAGAGAACACAAAGTTTAACGTCTAAGTCAGTGCTGGACATAAACACACCTAAGGGGCCATTACCATCTATGTGACTCACAAATCCTATTCAATAGACTCTGATTTCCCATTCCACATGATCTCAGTTACCCTTAAAATCTACATACAATATAGAATTTTAATGTTTCCTTTCTTACTTAAACACTGTTGATGCAACATTAAAGTTAACTATGTAAATGAACTACATAATTTGGATAATCTATACATGAAAGTGCTATCCTTTTGTTTTTAGCAAAGTAGTAGGAGTACCTCCTATTTGTATCAGTCACATATAACTAAGTTGCCTTTCCAAAACCTAAAGAGTATTTCCATAGCTAACTGCTTATAAAATAAATGAAGCCACCACAAATCAATGTGTCCTACCTGTGTCATTTTTTATCTTACCTTGGCAATTATTTCAGAAATATTTTTCAGGGACTGCTTGATTGGGTATTTAGCCATGTCCCACTGAAACCTTGTTATATAAGTAACCAAGTCAACTGAAATAAGGGAATAAGTTAATTACTAAGGAGAAGCAATACGATTTTTTATAGTTTGCTATACAGTAAACATTCATAATTTAATACTGAAATTGCTATTGAAAAAAACTGGTAAAGAGGTCATCATTTCCAAAGCATTCTGATTAAATAACGGTGGAACTATACTGAGTATGATGAATTAATTAAAATTCTCCTTGCAATCTGATTGGATCTCTTATCCTTACTCAACATTTAATATATATTAAAATACTCCTTCTAATTTGATAACTTAATAAATGCAATATGTATATTCCCATGGTATGCCTCATATGTAGGAAAGAGATACAAAGATAAAGAAAACTGCTTCAAATTTTCTCCTCAATTAGCAGCATTTGACAAAAGTATGCCCTGTCTTTGCCAAATTACCCAAACAAATTGAAAATAAACTTGTCTGTTAACACCATGTGATGATTGTCCCTAGGGGCCTATACTTCAACAATCTTCAAAACACAGAACCTTTTACTTTCGAATAAAAAGAATAAAAATTTTAGAGCCAAAGAGACGGTCAATAACTTTTCCTGAAAGTTTTAGTCATCAAGATGACTTTACTCCTCAAGCCTGATCCCATGAGACTTGGGGTCAGGGAACCCAAATGTCAAGTATGGCTAACTGGCAAAAATAATTCATCTCAAAATATCATTCTTTCCTCAGCTTCTCCCCATTTAATACCAACAACAACAACAACGGAGACGGTGCTTCCAAAATCAATTTGAAAGGCACTGCCCCCTAGACTGTCAAGCCCCTTTCCACCTACTAGACTGGCACCCTAGTTCATCAGACATCTAAAAGATAAGGAAAACTGCCCGAAATTAGCATATCCACCTTCTGTCCTTATGTCCCAAACAAAAGTTAACACAAACAGTAAATCAGATCAGGAGCACTTTCAAAACAAAGAGCAGAAATAAATTATATGTTTTTATAGACTATGTATTTATTGAAGATATACTTATTTGCAAGGAGAAGAAATGAGATTAGAGAAACATGGATTTAAAATACTGTTACTTTAGAGAGTTTAACCATACTACTCCATGCTGCTGCCTTGGCATCCACTGTGTGTGGCCAAGTGGCCTGGAGGGGCCTAGAAATTACACTACCCCTCCCATCAATAGCAGCCCTATATAACAGCCTGCAGGCTCACAACTCAATGTGAGTTCTTGAGATAACTCTCCCACTGCCTAGGGCCTTTCTCTCGTGGACCCTTTAGATAAGACACTTTCCAAGTTACCAAAACCCTACTCTTTCTGGTCTGAACTGACCTACTAGGACTTAGCCTGAGAACCACAAAGCACGCCACCCACAGACCCCATTAAAGGCACCTGTCCCAACACTCTTGGCTGTACCCTGCCCTGCCTTGACCACTCCCCCTGCCCTGCCTCCTCCAGGAGCTGCGAGTAATACACTTCTCTATTTCACTTTCCCTTGAGGTCTCTTGTTGGACAGCAGCTCACCATTCCATGACACTCCCATCCCATGATCCCCTGGAGCTCTAGTTAACAAATGTTAATTTGACAAAATCACATCAGTGACCTTATCATGGATTTAATTATATGTATTATAAAGACATAACTAAAGATCAGCCTACTTTAAAATGAAGCAAATGCTAACATGGTATTTCCCAAGAAAACAACAAATCCAAGTACAAATGACAATGTCAAAGCCATCTTTACAAAGCCATTATTACACAGAGCAAACTCAATGTAAATGTTAGGTTCTAGCTACAGAAAGATCAGTACTAGACTACTGTATAGGTACTAAGGTAAAGAAATGTCGCATTCAAGTTTGAAGGCAGGGGACATTACTCTGTAATAAAAAAATAATTTTTATTCTAAGGCTTTAGCAGTTGGATGCTATTAAATTTTTAAAGGTTAGAAAAGACAAAAGTACTTAACTAAAAAAATGCTCAAACACATAACTTGGAAACACACTTGCAAATGTCAGGTAACATATAAATCCCAGAAAGAACTAAGGTAAATCTTTATAATACTGCATCTGGAAGGACCTGACATCCATATCATAAGCTATATTATATATTATGTAAGACTGTCTCACATGAGCCTGTGTTTCAGGGGCAGGTTGTAACTAGCAGTATCACCGAATTCAGTAATTACTATATTTTAATAGCTATTACATTTAAGATCCTTATCTATAGATTTAAATTCTTTTTTTTGTTTTTGAAGCTTAGTCATTCTCTTTATACAAGTCAACATCAAATCATGAAACATTAGCTTACCTCCGTTTGCCAAGAGATTCTCCTGAACCTTGTCTTTACTGTCCTCTAATACGTCAGCCATATATTGAGCCACTTTCTTAACCACCCTTAAGAGAAAAAAAAAACACACACATCATTTTCAGGGAAAAAAAAAGACCTGAATTCCATGCTATACAATGAACACATTACATAAAGACATAAATTTGACTATATGTCTCCTTATGCATATCTATATAATATAGAACAAATGGATCCTAGCTTCTATAAATAATGTTTGAAGGACAGACCAGACCAAAATTTTTATGTATAACTCAGCTGAATAACTGTTTATTAGTCTGGAAAAAAACAAGTAGTAAGAAATAGCCTATAAAGAGCCATGTGGTATAAACTGAAAAGCTAGGCAATGGATCTGACTACAAGGACCAAGAACAAAGGAAGAGGCAGAGAGCCAGCACTCACCAACTACATGCTTTTCCAGCATGCAACAGAATACAAGCAACAACACTGACGATGAATGAGGTCCTACCTCATTTATGCATTAACTATTTATGGAGCACTTACATTTGCAAGGAGGAAGCCTATACAAGAAACCTTAGTGCCAAAACTTCTGAGGCACCTAGATATCACCCTGTTGGTCCTTCATTTCATAAGAAAAGACACCAAGTTACAAAGAGAATAAGTCACAAAAGTCACAAAACCAGTCAGTGGCAGATCTGTGATCAGAAACATGGTGTCCTGACTCTGGAGTTCAGTGTTCTTTCCCCCGTCCACGTGTGCCTCTAGGCCCTACATATTCCAAACTATGTAAGGTAAACAAAGATCACTCACTTCACACTGCTTAAAGGTGAACTGGAGAGCTACCAAAACATACAAATGACTAAATCCAAAGCAATCTGTGATAAGTGCCAGTGCAGATGATCAGGTTGGAGGAACAGAGAAGCATAAAGGAAAAGGGATCACTGCCAGCGACTGTAATCAAGAAGCACGTGGCTCATGAACAGGGTCATGAAGGGCAGGAACGGTTTTGAAAGGATGACTAGACCGGAAGAAAGTACATTCTCGCCACAGGGCATCAGATGAGCCCAAACCAGGAGAGGCAGAAGCGCAACTGACACTCAGAGAACGACGACGACGGGTCCAGACTGCCTGGACCGGCACACTGCGGCGAAGGGGATGCTGCGCTAGGAGGGCAGGCCGGGACAGACCGCAGGCAGCAACAGACCGCAGGCAGCCTCCGACGTCACACTTCAGAAGGAAGGGTAACGTGGTCAAATCAGGGCTCCGGATTATCTGATGACTGTGTGCTCACTGGCAGGGAGGGTAAACTGGAAGTCAAATGAAGAAATTCCTACACAATAACCAATAAGGACCAGAAAAATGGACAGAAGGGCTAAATTTGAATGACCTCAAGCTAGGAAAGTGAAACAATTTCAGAAAAAAATGTAAGCTATAAGTCTCCGATATGTTTAACTTGGGGTTTGTACATACACTTTTGGCCGTGTCTCCAAAATTTTCACCTATTCCTTCAGAGGAAACAAACTACTATTCCCATGTAAGTTAGTTAGCAAGTATCTTGTAAGCAGAATCGTTTGCTATGAACATTCAAAAATGTGCATACATTTACCTTAGAAACAGTTCAAAGTACAGAACTTTCTGGCACCACATTTACACACTAATGTAATACTGATTCAGAACTTTACAACCTCCCTATGCATCTCTACAAGCCTATGTCAATGTACACCTGGTCACCTTAAAAAAACAAAAACGGCTCAAACGATCAGACTGCTGAAAAAGATTAAACTATAATTTGTTCCACACAGCATAATATTTAGACTTTAAAAATTGGAACATTTAAGTCACTGAGCTACCATCTTGTCAATTCTGCCAAGGCCTAACAACCACGTGACTTTTAAATTCTTCCTCTTTTTCAGGAAGACTAGTAAGACAAGACTGCACAACAGTGCAGAAAAGAACAGCTGACAAACCACACAAGTGACCCAATCCTACGGACTACATGAACTACACTGCTGTGAAAACTTTTCGGACTCCTTCCTAGAAAAATGTGAGCAACCCTTACACTACATTTGGGACAGTCCACTGACAATTTAAAGACAGACCTATAAAGACATAAAGGTATTTAGTAAGAATGCAGGTAAGTGTTAATAATTACATTCTCAGGATCCACCCTTCTCAATGTCTCATTGGTTGTCCTGCCCTGAAACTGTAATGAGGTAGATGAAACTGTAAGGAAGACCATAATCTCAGGAAGAGCAACCACAGAAAGTTTCTTCAAACTCTAAATTAAACACCTGTACTCAAGAAACCAAGAGATGACCATGTAGTCCTTTGAGAATACCATCAATAATTATTTTCACATTTGCTCTACGTGAATGCATGGAATTATTAACCTTATATGTAATGTGTTCATTTTTGTTCATCCTCTTTTCCATTCTATTGTCAAGTGCCCGGCCTTTGATATCTCTTACCTAATCTACTGTAAAACTGTCTCCTAACCAGTCTTCTTGGGTCCAGTATTAAAGACTATCAGCATATCTTTAGGTCTGTTTATTTCCTTACTACATGTTGTTATGTTCAAAGATCTCTCTGGAACATCTCAGCCTCTATTACCGGAGCCCTTGCATTATGGTGGTTCTATCAATTCAGAAAACCCTGACAACATAAATAGTACACCCTTCTGCACAGGTTTCAAGAATAAATCCCCTTCTATTCAAACCTGTTCCCTTAAAGCTTTAGTTAAATGTACATTTCTAAGATTCTCCAAAATTCTGTATTTTACAAAATATGCCTATTTACTTAAGCCTAAGTATTTAAAAGCTATGTATACCAAAAGTAAAGGAATTGATTCTGCCAATTAATCAAAATGCAGAGAGTTATCAAGGATCCCATACCCAACTTCAGCTAAAATACACAATAACTAAATTCTAAAAGCTACTGAAACTGTGGGTTAGAAAAATTCTTCTAATGAAACTAAATTCTGAAAACAAAAGCATCACCGTCTTCAAATAAATTATACAGCATCCCATGTTCATGGATCAAAGACTTATCAATATTATTAGGATGGCAATGCTCTTCAAACTGATCTATAGGTTCAACACAATCCCCACCCAAACTCCAGCTGACTTCTTGGCAGAAATATGATACAATGATCCTGAAATTCACGCAGAAATGGAAGGAACCAGAATAGCCAAAACAATCTTGAAAAAAAACCCAACATTGGAGAACTCATACTTCCTCATTTCAAAACTTACTACAAAGCTACAATAATCAAGACAATGTGGTACTAGCACAAAAATAGAAATATGGAATAGAGAAATATGAAATAGAACTGCAAGTCCAGAAATAAACTCTTGTGTTTATGTTCAAACTGACTTTTGGCAAGGGTGCCCAGACAACTCGATGGAGAAGGAACAGTCTTCAGCAAACGGTGCTAGAACAACTAGACGTCTACGTGTAAAGGAATGAGGGTGGACTCCTATCTCACACCCTATACAAAATAAACTCAAAACTGATCAAAGACCTACACGTAGAAGCTAAAACTATAAAACTCTTAGAAGAAAAAATAGGCATAAAACTGTATAACTGTGGATTAAGCAAAGTTTCTTAGATATGAAATTAAAACTAAATTGGACAAAACTAAATTGGACATTGAAATAAAAAATTTGTGCTTCAAAGGGGACAGTCTCAAGAAAATAACCACCCACAGAATGGGAGAAAATATTTGCAATTCATCTGATAGGTATCTAGAATATATAAAGAAATATTATAACTTAATAATAAAAAGACAAGTAAGCCAATGTATGAATGGGCACAGGATCCAAAACTGACCTTTTTCCGAAGAAACATAAATGGCCAATAAACACATGATAAGATGCTCGATCAACAAACAATCATTAGCCACCGGGAAAATGCAAATCAAAAACAATAAAATACTACTTCATGTCCACTAGGATGGCTATAACCAAAAAGGTGAACAGTTAACAAGTGTTGGGGACCAACTGTAACAGAACAACGACAAAAAAAGGACTATGGAGAAATCAGAACTTTCGGACACTGCTGGGGGACTGTCAGACGGTGTGGCCCCTGTGGGAAACAGCCTGGCAGTTCTGCACAAGTTAAAAGCGGAGTTACCGATGACCCGGCAATTCCACTCCTAGGTGCGTACATACCCAAGAGAAATGAAAACATTATGAATGTACAAAAACTATACACAAGTATTCATAGCAGCTTTATTCATATTAGCTAAAAAGTGGAAATGACCTGAATGTCCATCAACTGATGATAAATTAATAAAATGTGGTATATCTACACAATGAAATATTATTTGGTAATACAAAGAAATTAAATACTGATACATGCTACAATGTGGAAGAACCTTGAAAACACTATTAGATTAAATTTTATAGGTGAATTAATTATAAATTAATTTTGTCAATTGTAGTGGCTGAGGTAATAGTAATATTCTTGTGCACTGTGACAGTATTATTGCTTGGAACTTAAACCATCTTAGAGTTAGATATGAGGAAACAAAAATGACTGGTCACCATCTCCTTTTTTTTTTTACCCTTATATATCACTCAACAACTAGTTTCTCTCCCTTTTGTCAGTTCCCATTGTGAATTTTTCAAAAGAAGTACTGTTTCTAGGTGCCAGCCAATAAACTGTCATACACAATGGAAAATGATATGCCTCAGGATTCACTGTAAGTTTTAATAAAATTTAAAAAATTTTTAAGAGAAACCATTGTTTAAAAAAATGTTTTCCTGATGCCACTTATTTGAAAATGGTCACAAGAGATCACATGTTGCAGGATTCCAACAAAATGCCCAGACGAAGCAAATCCATACCGTCAGAAAGCAGAGTGAGCAATTAGGAGGCAGGGAGTGACAGACTGTGGTCATGGCTGCCCAGCTCTGTGAACATACTAAAAACCACTGCATTGTACATTTTAAATAGGTAAATTGTATGATATATACATTGTATCTCAATAAAAATGATAATTTCACATTTTGAACAGGTATATGTTATTGTATGTAAACTGTATCACCACAAAGTTGATTACAAAGAAAGAGTCATCTTATCTAAAACCATTCCATAAGCACATTATACATGTGATAAAAAACCCAATGTCCAGGCAGCCTGATGACAGTGACCCTCACTTTGCTCTGATCTGTGCATACAGGTACATTACCCTTCTACGAATGCATCCAGTTTAGCCAGTTCATCCGACAGACCAACCAAGACATCCAGTGTGCCAACCTAGAGAGGCAACACAGCAGTTTATGACTTAGGTTTCTTTTTACAAGATGATACAACACTTAATTTGAAGGGCCCACAAAACTTATGTCCTCCTTTTTTTTATTTCATAATGTGCAAGTGTGGTTAAAAAATGCTTGCCAGACATTTCAAAGCTATTTATATCTACAAGACAATCCTCTAATGCAGGGTTACAACCACCGTTTCAGACTCGATGTTTCTGCAACGGCTGGCCCGTGCCTCTGCTTGTACTGCCCAGTGATGGTGGATCACTCGAAGCCACGGTTTACAAAAGCAGCTCTTAAGCACAGGTCCATGACTGTGCATGAGAGGGTACATAATGAATTTATATGCAACACTGTATGTGCATAAATGAGTATATTTTGGAAGTAACGTCCATGATCTGTATCCATGTCTTGAAGGAATTCATAACTCCCAAAATATTGTTATAAAAACCAGTCAATTTAAGTATTTCTTAAATACTTAAGAAATATTTGAATACTGAGTGCTGTGTATAACTGCCTCACTTCTTAGTTACCTAGCAAAATATAAATTGTCATGATCTTTTCCATTCTTTACAAAAGGTCAGTCAAATGATTACACTAACAACCTGCTTCACTTTGAGACTGCTAGGTTACTGGTATTTAATAAATGTTAAATTGATTAACTAGATTAAATAATTAGGTTAAATTTTCCAAGCATGATTAAAGAGGTACAATGGTAAAACATTAGTGAGCATTATATGAATTTAATTACAGAAATGTGGATCACTGTGATATTAAGAATATATATTACTAAGATTTTTCCCCTCCTCAAAGTCATATTTGTGAATGTAATATATCACATCTTTTCATAAGATTTCTCATTACAATTTAAATTTTAATTTAGAAAAGCACAAATGTTTAGGAAAAATGTTATCTTGTTTTGGTAGCTCACTTCTGAAATCTCAATTTCTTGAAAAGAACAAGAGAGGTTTCTCTAGCCAATGGCTAGAGAAAGAACCTATTATCTCATTTATACCAAAAGGTAAACAGAAACACGACTGTCCTTCATACACTATTTTGCACAGTGTAGTTTTACCTTTAAGTCAGGAATGTTGAACTTTGAACTAATAGCAAGATTATTGTTCTTTGTAGTTGCTGCATGCAATTTCTCCCATGTTTGTTGACAGGTTTTCTCCCCAGGAGCTGATATAAGCCAGAACTCAGTCATGTTTGTTATCCAGTATTTCTTCCAAAATCAAGAGAGACTCTGAAATATAAAATAAAACAGAAAATAAATTTAGTATCACTTGTTTCTAAAATATTTCAGAGTCATATTTCAAAACGCATCTACCACTGGCACATGATCCCAAGCAAAGTCAAATTTACTTACCTGGAAGTAAATCCATATAAATGGTAAAATGTGACTTATTTATGATAATATAAAAGAGATGATGAAGACCTAATACATGAAGTATCTAATTTTTTAAAAAAATTAGAAAACATCCTAAAATGGGAATTCATTCAAGAAGTTGGACTACCCAAAATAATGACCACTAATAGTTTCATTCCACAAAAGTCAGAGAGTCACAAATTTATAAATTTATCTTAAACTTTTAAAACACAAACGAAAATAGGAAATAAAAAACACGCACAACTTGAATCAATGCCGTTGAATAGTAACCACCAAGCAAACTTGCCGCATCTGGGTTAGCAAACCCTACGAGGTTAACCAAATGGGGTTCATTTAAATCCACATTCAACCTCAGGATTCTCAAATCTCTGGCATATACTTAGCTGCCATAAAACATTTATAAATTTGCAAAAACATAAATAAATAAAAATCTTCCCAATCAGCCTTTTATTTTTTTAAATCTATGACCTTGGGGTGGGGGATACAACAGTACTGAACTGAGAGAGAAAGAGTCTGTGGATCTCCTTTTCCAAGAGTTCCAGATCCATTAAGAACCAACTTTCTACAGTCTTTCTCCTTCCCACTTTCTTTCTCTCCTTCTCCGTTTCCCTTCCTCTCCCTCCCTCTCCCCTGCTCCTGCATGCCCGCACATGCGCATGTAAAAAATAAGTCCAGAGACAACTGTATTCAGAATCTAAGTACACAAAGCAAAAAAAATCATAAAAATGAAAATATCATTATTTCCACTTTAATATGCCTTTAGTAGAACCACTGTTAGCTTTCCACTACCATTGCTTATTTAGCCTGTTCTGACACTTGAAGTCTTAGACAGAAGATAAAATTCTTACAAAGTTGTCTCGATAACAAAATCAGTGAAATTTATAAAGAACTTGATAAACTTAAATCTCCTTTAAAATGAAATTATAGCCCTGGTTGGTGTGGTTCAGTGGACTGAGTGCCAGCCTGCAAACCTAAAAGTCACCGGTTCAGTTCCTGGCCTGGGCACATGCCTGAGTTGCAGGCCAGGACCCCATCGGCAGCACGCAAGAGGCAACCTTCTCTCCCACACTGATGTGTCTCTCCCTCTCTCTCTCCCTCCCTTCCCCTCTCTCTAAAAATAAATAAAATCTAAAAGTGTATATAAAATGTAAATTATAGTTCATCATAATTTACTTTCGTAATTTCAGAAGCCCACTGCAATTAAAGTAATCCTACCTAGTCATTGCACAATTGAAAATGAACTTAACATAGATGCCATCCTATTTGCTTGTGTGCTCTTTTGAACTTCAGTTTACAGAGCATCTACCAAATACCAGTACTGCTCTAAATGTTTTACGATTATCCCAGTCATCCCAACACCTCTATGAGATACGTGCCATCCTCCCCATTCACAGATAACAAACTCGGAGAAGTTAAACTGGTATAAATTTAGACGGTGGTATTAAATAAGTAACCTCAAGAACTGTACTCTAGGATGATTTTTCCCACAATAGTGATAAAGCTGCACAAAGAGCTATAATCAGATGGCCAACAACTAAACACAGACTTGTTAGTGATGAGCAGACCAGACAAAGCACTTGGTCCAGCCAGAAAAACGGCAAACTTAACTGGCTCGCCAAGGATGGCAGCCACTCAAACACCAAGTTCTAAGGAGGACATCCAAAAATAAGCTTTGATTTAAAACAAAAGCAAAAACAAAACCTCGTTAGCCTACATGAGAAACTTCAAATGTTAAACTTCAAAGTTATTGTATAAATATAATCCTACCCATACTCTTCTCCAACCTGTTTTTTTTCACTCAACCTATTTTTAGAATTATTATAGTAATACCTATCAATTTAATTCATTCATTTTAAATGCTATATGGTATTCTATGAGCAAACCAAGATTTATTATCTATTTTCCTCTGGATGAATAGCAATAAATTACTTTTTTGCTTTATAAACAAGTTTGCAGTGAACAACTCTGTACTTCACGAGTTTTTGTGAGTTTCTCCAGGACAGACAGGAGTAAAAAAGTTCAGCGGAAGAGTACGATAATGTGGTAGAGTTATCTCAAAGATGTAGGCAACAAGTCTTTCCATGCTCCTATGTAATGTGACTGCCACTCCTGCCATTAAAAGGTGGAGCCTCTTTCTCCTACCCTTGAATCTAGGATAGCCTGTAACTTGCTCTGACCAACAAAACACCACACTACTGTAAGTTCAGGGCCCCCAGGTCTCAAGAGACCTTGAAACTTCAACCTCTGTTTATTGGACGGCTGCCCTCACACCACCACGGAAGGAAGCCAGTCTAGCTTATGTAAGATAAGAAGCCACATGGCACAGAAACAGTAACACTGTAGCTGACAACCAGCATAAACAGGCAAGGGTGAGTGAGGCCATCCTGAAGCTTCCAGACCAGCCAATATCCCAACCGAACACAGTCCCATCAATGAGCACATGTGAAACAAGCAGAAGGACCACCGAGACAACCCACAGAACCAGGAAAAATTAGAAATCACTGTGTAAGCCACTAAATTCCAGGGTGGTCTGTTATATATGATGAGATTAGCCTGGAAAAAGACCAACCATTGTTAATATAATGAGAACAATTTGCACGATATTGATGTAACCTGGCAGCCAAGAAGAGCAAACTGGAATGCACATGTGTGAACGATAACTTCACTGTACTGGTTGGTTACTAGGGGCAGTAGATGCCATTGAGTGAGCATGTGCACTGTGAGGCTGTCACATTCAAAATGACTGAGTAGAGCAACAAAATTGTGTTCAGCTTGAACATTCTACCACAGAAACTATTCGAATGATTCAGAAGGCCGCAGCCATAGAAAACTGGTAATTGGCAGCTTCATCATGACAATGTGCCTGCTCATGCATTATGTCTCTTGCAGTTTTTTTAGTGAAACATCAGATCACCCAGGTGACTCAGCCCCTCTACCACCCAGATTTGGTGCCCTGTGACTTCTGGCTTTCCCCAAAACTAAAATCACCTTTGAAAGAGAAGAGATTTCAGAATGTTGATGAGATTTGGGGAAACTGGATGGAGGAGCTGATGACAACTGGGAGAACTGTGAGAGGTTCCAAGGTGCCTACTTCGAAGGGGACTGAGGTGTCATTGTCCTATGTACAACACTTCTTGTATCTTGTATCTTCTTCTTCAAATGTCTCTATTTTTCATATTGTGTGGCTGGATACTTTCTGGACAGACCTTGTGGATGAGATAACTGAAAAGCCCACATCACCGCTATTGGGTACTGCCAACCTGTTCTCAAAAGCAGTTACCAGCATTAAGTTCCCACACAATGGTATACATTGTTCATAACTATATGCTTACAGGAAGTTCAAAAACATACATAGGAGAAAGGTGCTTCTTTAGCTTTCTTTCTTTAGTAAATTGCCTGGTGCAATAAATTACTAAATTTGGCAAAATGTTAATCCTAATCCTGTTAAATCTGTGTAGTGGGTATGTGAATGTCTGTTAATCTGAAAAATTTGAACTTTTTTGTATACTGGAACTATTTCAAAATTAAGTATTTTAAAACTTGTTATAAGAATGTAATTAATTTATGATAAATTAAATAGTACAATGCTTAGCAAACTGACAAAAAATACAACTTCAGTGAAATTTCAAATGGACTAGCCAAATACATACCAAGTGAATCCTCCAAGCACAATTTTTCTGTTTTAACCCTAGTGGATATGCTTTCTAATCTTATTAACCAAGAGTAATATTCTGAACACCAACTGTTTTGATGTTTCAGAATTATTTTTTAAGAAATATTTTCAGGTCATTATATTTAACAATTCTAATTGTATAGTGTTGCAAAAGTCAGAGCTTGGGCTACACCTGTACTAATACCAACATTTGTCTACACTGCTTTTTAAACTGAATTCCTAATGAAATGGTATGGGTCTACACCTGCTTTATCATTGTGTTCCTGTTCTCCACTGCACCACTGTAGCTGGGTCACCTCCCCAAGCCGCTCCAAAACTTGCTACCTTTTCCCTTTCCACCTTTCCACTTTCCTTTGGCCACTTGGCCTTGGCCGTCTCCTTATCTCTGGTCTCTGGATCTAATATTCTTGTACTTAACAAATCTGGCTTTTTTTTTTAGCTGAAATACCAATCATAGAACAACCTTGAACTTTGAAGTTCTCAGTTGAATCCAATATACTGTATCTTTAAACATCTTTTAATAAACCAGATCTTCTAAGTGATCGTAGTTTTGGAAACTTGAGGCCTTATTTTTAATTATTTATACAAGTGGTCCTGTAACATCATGCAGAGCGGAGGGTCTCCCAAAATAACAAAGCATATTCCCCACAGTCCATGGTTGAGGGTTGGGAGAAGGAAGATACTTTTCACAACAATGGCAAGTTGACAGCTGTGCTACAACCCTGAGCAAAAGGCATATGTGACTTTCAGAATATGTAATGACTCATGAGGTGGTGGGGGGGGGGGGGGCGGGAGGTTGCAAAGGACAGCTTATACAGCAGGGAGACAGAAGCTCCTGTGTCATGGGGTACTCTTGCCCTGACTAAAGATGGCAGCCAAAAGGAGGTTAAAGATATGAGGGAACTGGCAAAAGTAGCATATTGTAGGAGAGGCCAGATATGAGGGCACATAGGAAGCTCTGGGTCAGCATTTAAAATCAGGGTGGGCTGAAAGAGAGGGAGCTGGTCTGCCACAGGGGCTGAGAGAGTAGGTACCAACCATGAGGAGGGGAGGCATGAGGAAGGAGCAATGATGTAGGGGATTGGCTATGAGCACTGAGAAAGGAAGCAAGGGGCTGTGCAATCTGTAGTCAGGATTCTGCCATGCAGCCTGGGGTGGTAAGGAAGGCAGCCATGCAGGCTGA